CCAATCACAAATTGTGAAAATTTCTATGTAGGATTAGATGCACACAGTTCCAGGCCCAGCAAACATGCAACTACACTTCCTCCAAACCAGCCTCCCTGACCGAGGCATGCAGAGCTGTTAGTTAACCTGTTTCAGCAGAGGATCTCATTTACTGTGATTGCTAAGGCTCCATAACATCAGTAGCTCAAGGGCCTTATGAAATCCATCAGTCTTTGGATGCATTTAAGCCCTTGGTGCCCAAGTGGGCTGATACAAGGATCCAAATGTGGATCTGGCTGCTGCAAGTAGAGCACACCCAGCACTAGAGAGCATTAAATTATTAGTTTCCTAACTAAAAACAAAACAAAACAACTAAGATTCAATAACAGCATGATCAGCAATTGAAATACTTGAAATAGTTTATATTTCTCAAAACGGGAAAAAAAAAACAAACAAACATGAAAATCCTAGTTCTGGAAATGTGCATTACTCATATCGAAAATATCCTGGAGTATTTTCCAGCTTTAAGTAGTAGTAAGGTGGAAAAAGAATCCATAATTAGTAAATGTGCCCTTCAGGGCACTAAGCATAGTGAAGGATAATTTTGTGTCAGCATCACTGTAATTATAAGACAAATCCATTGACTCAGTCACAAGACCTTGTCTTCAAAAAACTGTCACTTCATAACAGCTTCTTCCTCTAGATGCTTTAACAGCCATGGTAACTGGAAGTTGGACTTAGAGCACAGAAATTGGTGAGAGTTACCCATCTGCAATGCTGGCTTCACATAAGTTAGTATCAGGTATGTAGTCTGCTTCACGTTCTTTAACAGTACAATTGGGAGGATTGTTTGTTTTTGTTTTTCTTTTTAACTCTAAAATTCCTCTTTGTGCTCTTGGTTATTTTGGTGTGTGTGTGTATGCACACTTGACAGGCAGTGCAGCATCTGCCTTATTACTGCTAGAAGTTGTAGTATTTTCTTTTTAATGATGTCCAAACAAATTATCCGTTAAAAATAGACTGTATGGTAGCTCAGTGGGAAACAGAATTTAGCAGGCAGAAGATCAAAAGGAATTAAGTGCCAGAGCTCTGGCCTATGCGCTCGTAAAAATTGATTTGACTTAATAAGTTTAATGCAAAAGGGAATTGCATTCTGTGCACTGCTTTCCTGTTGATTTTTAAAAAGTGTGGGAGCACATCTTCCCTGCTGATGTCCATTAACTATGTCCATGAATATATAAATATAAATTGGGTGCTTCACTTCTTTTTCTTTCTTTCCTTTAACTCTTATCAGCATTTTATAGCTAGGCAAACTAACTGGATTCACACAAAAAACTGCTAACAGCTGCTATTTTCCACTTATCTGAAATGCTCACTTTTTTTCCCCTATTGATATTAAAACAGTAAAAGCTCTGAATTTTATTGATTTATATTTTGCAATAACTGTTTCAACAAAGTATGCAGGTGTCGTATCATAAGTAGGTAAAAGTAGCCAGTGAAAGTCATGTTTATCAGCAAGTAATCTTATTGATATTTTGTTTTTATTTAGTTCGTTATTGTTGTTGTTTTTCAGGGTGATAATTAGTTTGTTTTGCATCAAAAGTTCCTATGGGACAGTATAAAACCTAAGCCAGAAAATTCTACCTGTTCATATTTGGACTTGTAATCAACTTCTAAAAGATTGTTCTGTCTTTAGATGTGAAATGCAGAGACACAGTGCTTATAAAGCACAAAAAAAAAAAAAAAAAAAAAAAAAAAAAAAAGATTGCCCCAATGCATTCTTGCACTCAATTCCTCAATTCTTACTTTCCTGGTTAAGTGCTGTCCTACCTTGCTTTTGTGATAGCATACAAAGCATTATGACCAGTTTTCTTCTAAATCATTTTGCTTATATGACAATGTATGTACACAGTACCTGCTTGGCCAAACAGCCACTGCTTTTAAACAATCCTGTTACTTATTCACTACAACAGGATTGTACCTCCTACCATTGTAGCTTCTACCACAGTCATGAAGAAATGAAGTATTCCAACCTCAGTAGTATTGGAAGCAAGGACAAAGGTTTAATGTAGTCTAAACCCCATAGCTTAGGTTAAGACATGACCTTCCCTATCTTCCCTGTCTGTTCTTGACTAGACTCTCTGCTCCTTGATTTTCCTACATTTCTGTATCTGGTGAGTGTTTGATATAGATCCCATAGCCTTAACTCTGAATTCTGCCATGTAACCATTTAGCCACAGAGCTGCTATACTCACAAGAGTCCAGGCACCACAGCGCCGGGGTGGGAGGGTGGCTCTGCCTGCCTCTTGCTCCTCAACACCAAAACGTCATGCATGGAACAGACTGGTATGAAGAGTGGGATTTACTGAGAAGTTCACTGAGTTTCAGACACTGAACTGTAGTACTGAACCCCAGCTGAGGCTGGTTGAGAACACTGTAATAGTACAGATCAGGCTGCAGAATATGGCTGCTGGAGTCCAGTCACAAGTTGTTGTACTTTAACATGAATACAAACTTTGTCACAAAGACTTAAGCCCACACCTGGAAACAGAACCAAATCATATTACCAAATTTATGAACATCTTTCTAACACGTCCTTTGTCATTATTTCCTGATATTCTGGTCTCGTGTGGAAAATACAGAGAGCCAAACATTGATTAACGTGGGCTTCTATAGTCTTCCCCTTAACACCCACTATACCAGGAATTAAATTCAAACAAAGTGCTGAGAATCTGCCTTAGTTTATCCTACCGCAATTAAAGTAGCACCAAAGAAAACTATGCCTTAATCATGTGATGTACTTTTCATTTGGTAAATGCCCAAACAGGTTGGAAACCGACATCTTACAAACGCAGCTCACAAGTAGCATGTAGGTTTTTGAATATTTTACTGCATATGCCCCTTCCAAAGAGAACATAATAAAGACATATATTCTCTTCTGCGTACAAGTTCATCAGACTGTTAGACAATAATTGCAATCGTTTACAGGAAACCACCATCAAGTTTTACGTGTAGTGAAATAGAATTCACAGAGCAAAAACATGAACAAGCCCTTCTTGTGTGATGTCTTATAAAAAAAAATGTATTTGCCATTCACAGTTGTGAAGCAATCAAAGCCCAGAAAGAGGAATGCTGCTGAATCCTCTCGAAGAATCTAGTATTTGGTGTTAACTTCTTATGTGAAGTGCCCCATTTCTGATTCCTCTCTTGTGAATGATGACCCCAGGATGAGATGTTAAACTTTTCTCTATTTCGAAATCTGCTAAGTTTTACCCTGAAAGAACATCTCTAAGGAAGGACATCACCCAAAAGCCTCTGACAATCAGTGCATATGTCTGACAGTCCTAATTCTGTTCAACTCAGCAGTTTAAACTCTTTTGTCCTGTAAATCACAGCAATCATAGTTTATTCTTACATGGAAAAGGATGCCCATGTGGATTTTGCTGGAGAAAGGTGAAACAAACAAACATTAGGCATCCTACAGGTCCTGCTAAAGCTTTATTCATGTGCACCTTTTTGCAACACCTCCAATGGCAAAGAAGTATTCAACTGCTAGAAATACCAACAAGTTCAATTTTAAACTGATCTTACTAAACTGACGTTTCCCATTCTGTAGTTTTACTATCAAAATTAAGTGTGTACTTTTATTTGTACGCATATATATGTATACACACATATATACATGTGTATATATATACGCACACACGTAAAAAAGACTTAACTGCTCTTTAAATTCAACTTCTTATCCCAGTTCATTAAGAAACAATTTGTGTTTTCTTCACTAACAATACTAAAATCTTTCCTGCAGCAGAGCAAGTGTACATCTTGTTCATTTACTGGGTTAGGACAGTACTTGGACAACCTACATGGAATTGCTTAGGGTTGATTTACGTGGGTAAAGCAAGCAGAGCACAATCCAGTTATCGTCTAGAATCTTATTGCCCTTAATCCCACTAATAATAGTTGTCACAGAACTACTAAAGGCTGAGATCCACAGAAGACACAGAGCTCTCACTGACTTGACTAGAAGAAGTATTTGCATTGGAAATTCAGGGTCAACAATGGACGGCCCAGTGCGGATTGCTGCAGTTCCGAAAATATCACATCGTACTTCTACTCAAACATGTCCCAAAATACGTTCAGAAAGTGAGGTGCCAAAAATACATTTTTACTACCTTACTAGTCCACTCACTCATTAGAGCTGTAGTTTTTTTTCGGTTACGTTGTCATGAGAAAAAAAGTGTTTCCTAGTTGACATAGAAGATAAAATCTGTAAGCATGCAAAGTGAGACAAATTACTATTATTTTTTTTAAAGATTGTCACTTTTATTAGTAAGAGACAAATTTTTTAGGCTGAATGCTAACAGCTATCTTATAATTTATTACCATAATAATCGTTAGTTCCTGGTGCTTTCTAAAGATAATCAAGAACCCTGCAGGTAATTAGCACCTCACTGGATTTATCACTGTAAAACAACTGAACATACAAGCATAAATACAAAAAGTAAATGATGCAACAAGCTTCTAACCATAGTACTAATAATAGAGAAAGTGAGACACATATTCTATATACCCCAAAGAAGATCTCTGCTACATTTCAGCCAGGCATGGAGAACTTACCTGTTATGGAGTAGACAAATCATGTAAATCAACAGATCAATCTTTCCCAAGGTCTGGAATTGCCACATCACCTTTTTAATGGTCTTCATTTTGAAAGACGTTGATTCCACCTGTACTACACTGAATACTTCTAAATAGACGAGTAGCTATGTGAAAGAGGTTACCTTGCAAGCATGTGGATGTTTTGTTTAGTTTTAACCTACCTGGTATTGAGATGAAAGTTGAAGTAATGCTAGAAATAATAGCAACAAATAATTCATGGCCATTACAGACTTTTTACTGTGGGCTTTGACTACTTGAGAAGGGAATCCACCCTCAAAATCATGCACAAGCTGCCTTCTGGGCAACAACACTATCATGAAAATGAAGAATGAATAACAAAAAAAAAAGTCAGAAACATAAAAAATAAACATCACATTTATTTAAATAAAAATATACACATAGTGTACAATGGGCATGGCTTACAGACAGCAATGAAACAAAAATGCTAAATCCTGAAGTATAAAAAGAATTGAATTGCTTAGTTGTGCTTCATTTCTCTGAACAATCACAGAACATAAACTGAAGTCCAATTAATGTTACTTATACATAGCCCCATGTGCTCCAGAGTGAGACAGGAACATTACAAGGAATAGCTACACCAATGAAAACAAGTACCAAAGTAACTCGGGATTTTAGAATTTTTGATGTCAGACCTTTCATAAACAACAGAGAATTGCTGAAAACTTTTATAGCACTTTGCATGACAGATGGAAAGTGTACACAACACCACTGTGAATAGTTAGAGATATAAGTTACAGCAGCATCACCCAAATCCCACCACTCCAAACCCCACAGATTCTGAGCAATCAACCATTACACTCAGATTTCTACCGTAACTCATGCTCCTTGTCAGCACATAAACTCCAAGCTTTATGCTTCAGCTTTTTGGCATATGGATATATTGGTTCACAAATTCCTTCTATCTCTTTGACTTACTCTGAACTATTAAGTCTTTTTTTTTTTTTCTTCATTTTGGATCATGAGCATTATGATGAAATTTATTGTGTTATTCAGATAACAGAGTGGGAAAAACGTTTGAGTGCTGCTGAGTGTAAGCTGACTGTTCTGGCAACAGAACTGACAATGTGTTGCATGACTAAGGAAAAAAAACTATGTTATAGAAACTGAAGTCCAGGAGCTTTTTTTTTTTTAAATGCAGTTCCGTGATTTTTTGCTTTTTAACATGCAATTTACAAGGTAAGTTCGTATTTTAAAGAACAGTAAATTATGTTAAGAGCTTTGATTGTAAACATCTGCTTTTAAGCTGCAAATAAGTGAGATGCAAATTCACAGATGGGGTACTGCCTGTACAGCACAATTCCTCTTTACAATAAAAAAGCATAAATAGAGACATCATTGGTTTCAAGTTTACAATGTAGCCAACTGACACAATATATATGTTTAAGTTCATTAACTGATTACATACATTAATTCACACAACTCATTTTGCTGCATGGTCATTAATGCAATTTATCACACCTGTTGCTGTTCATTGCACTTCCTGCTTGTTATAAGCTGACCATAAGATTTCCTGAAACTTGTGTAAAAGCTAGAAATAACATTAAGCTTATTTTCTGAAAATCATAATAGGTGTATTAAACGGTGGGCTTCAAAATGATACATTCCATTTTGCACCTAAATATTTAGATATGATTTAAAATACCATTACATTTTAAACCACTTAAACCAGGTGAATTTTCATCCAATTTGATTGTTTTAGACACAAACTGTTTGTTAATTTCGTATTTAAATTACAAAAAGCCAGAATTCGGGCAGTGCAAAATTAACATTGCAAAGGATTCCATTAAGGTTCCTTTCCAGTTAATATTTACTTTCAGTTGTCCTCATATTTTTTCTTTGTAACACATATATTGCAACCATTCCAGCAAAATATGCAAGTTCACACAGACAAAATCAGATAACAATTAAAAATCTATTTCCTAATTGCTCCATAAAAGCTAAAATATAAACATTAATAAGAACATATTTCAAATTCCCCAAAAGAAAACTTCAGAAGAAAAAAGACCCACCTGCTTAGTAATGTCAGGCCTGTACATGCTACATATTAATTATAGCAGTATTATAATTATCTCTGAGGAAAAAAAACAAAACAAAACACTTCAACTTTCCATTTCTTATTTTTTTTCAGACATTTTATACCAGCGCTCTGTTTAGATGCTAGCCTGTGGTACAAAAACAATAAATATGTAATGCATTGTACAAATATTCAAAGTTGGTAGCTCTCATTTCATGTTTCTTTGAGGCAGTTCCTGATGACCTTAGTTCTACAAGTAATACTTTCCATGAATAAGACAAGATTTGGCTTTAGATGCAGATATATTTTTGATCGTTCGTCTTCTAGCCCTTGAAAATTGCTCTCCCATCAAAAGAGATCTTACAAATCTTTAAAAGGTAGCTGATATGGAACACTTTCCATGCATATGCTGCTAAGATCAGTATGTTTCCCCTAAACCTCTGCAAACAAATGGTGCATATTGCTAATAGAAATTTGCTTAATTTTACTCCACTGATACTCGCAGTGATCTACAAGGACATACGCAAGGCCTCAGGTGATGATTCAACTCCTCTGTTGGGCATTCAAATGATAGACAGGGGTTGAAGTGTCTTCTGCAGAGTGCTTATAACTTGAATTAAAGTAACTATCAACCCGCAGCAAAAACAAAAACAAATCTTTGTTTCATTATAATAGGCAAACCAGAAAAAAAAAAAAAAGTTTTGAATCTGTGATTGACAACTCAGTTTTGGTGAGAAAACCTCTGCCTGCATAAAGTTATATAGGCCCATAGCAAGCAATGATAGAGCAGAGGAATATTTGAGCCTGTTACACTACTGAAGCAACAAAACTCTTCTAGTACACTTGGAACTGTGTTAGGTTTTAAAAAGACATTCCAATGAAAAAACTGGCATGAAAAAGTTCAGTCTTATTTAAGACAAAATCCAACCTACTCTTTTGTAATGGTCCGAGCCCAATGAAATTTTACTGCAGTACACTAATTTCATTTTTTTTCCTAATCATCTTTAACAAATAACAGATTTAATTTCACAAGAATATGCTGAGTGTTACTGTTAAAAAGGACAGTGATCTAATGTGTTTTTTTCAGTTTTTTTTTTGTTTTGTTTTGTTTTTTTAATGTGGCTCTACTACTGAAAACATTTTAAATATAAAGGTAACATGAGAGTCACAATGGTAATTTAGAACCCTAGCGTGGTTTATATTTTGAACTTGACAGAATGCCCATGGGGCTGAGATAAAGAACTATAAGAACCTATAGTGAACCCATCAGTGAATATTGTTCCCACACAGAACTTTACAGATTATTTTGGAATTACTGTAAGAAAGGCCAGCATTCTCTATTATATATTTGCAATTATTTCAGAGGTGTGTAAGGAATTTACCATTATTTCTAAACTGTACATGTAAAGTTTCCCTAATTTAATAATAATAATAAACATGGCAGAAAGGAAAGTGGGGGCTAGTGCAGCAATCAGACTGACAGAACAGAACATTACTTTCCTAGGTAGACTTATGTTCCATCAACCTGCAAATAAAATTTCATACAGATAAGCTGCGTAACATTTAAACGCACAATTTATGCACACATCCACCCACCCACTGAGCAGTTACTACTTCTACTGATACATGACAGGAAAAATCAATGCATTATATTCTCATCTGCCTGAGAATATCTATGATGCAATGCCAACTCTTCTGACATCTACTGCTGAAATAATACATTCTCAAAGAACAGAGTCAATCATGATAGAACATTCTAAAAATGGAGACATACAATACAAATAAACAAATGCAACAAACCACCTGTGACCACAAATGACCTACTTCACTTTGGAAAAATGTTCCAATCAGTTAAATATGTTGGTATAGTTGAATTCCTGTCTTCACTGAAGTCAATGACTATTGAAATGAGGATCTCTTCCTGAGGTTCTCCTACGTGCCCCAAAGCCTTATCTTAAAAATACATAAGATGGGTTTAATGCTATTCACATGATAGATCATTTCTAAGTAACCACCCAATTAGAGTTTGCAAGATCAGGTGCTTAAATAAGTATTTTTACTAGCACAGTTATAGATTTATACCCAATAATGGGTGTTAATAGATTAAAAAGAACAAATTATAATTCACCGTGCCTCAAGATTTCTTTGTCTTCTGTAGGAGCAAATAAACATTAACCTCTTTATCCATAGCAACTACAATTTCCTACAGCTATCCAAGTTCCCAATGCAGTTTTCATTTGGGTAAAACTCTCATATTTCTGCTTTAGATTTTTTTTTTTTTCTCAAAGGAATGCATTACATAAAGGTCAGTAACCATTGAAAACTCGTTTTTTTTGTTAACTATTTCTCTCTGCAGGGCAGAAGGCAGCAATAAATAGATACAATTAGAAAACACAAATGTTCTTTGCAAGACAAATTTCAGAACTAACACAAGCTAGCAGAAGCATTAACATTCTTTTTTAAAGCTGATAGTTGTTCTTTATCCTGGAGTGCTACACAGAGCATTACAAATTTTATATAAATCAGTGGTAGCTAACTAGTCCTAATACAGCAGGTTACTCTAATTATAACATTTATCTCAGGCTACATAAAAACATGCATGTTTTTTATAGCCTAAAGATACATGAACTCCTATATATACAAATCATTTTACCTACCACTAAAGAAAATTTAGTTTTAAGAGTTTACTGTAAGCAGGAACATGATAGGTCATATTCAGGTCACCTTACATGAAGAATTATTCCCCCTGATTTCAACATGATTTATGTGTAAGAGAAAGTGAAATAAGTGGTATTTGGCTCAGGTGCAGAAAGCTGAGAATGATACATTCAAATGAACTGCAGGGAACGAGAACAGAATTACCAAAATTACAGGCTGTAATTACTGAAAATATATTGTGAAGTTACCATGCGTATGTAAGGAAGCTAAATGTAATGACTAAAATTATATTTAGGCCAGGTATTAATATTTGCATCTTTCATAAACAATTCTAGAAGGATTTAATTATTCGTGATCAAGACCTCAGTGCTGCGCTGGTTCCAGAAAACACTATTTCTGACAGGAAGAGACCCCTTAACTCAAATCTTGGGTTTTGGTTCAGAGACAGAATGCCACCCTCCAGACTGATAACATCAGTTCATAATGCAAATGGCATTTCCCTTTTCAATCTGCTGTCAAACTGTCCAACAACCTAATTCCAGCTGGTTGATGAATCATACTAAGCTTCAACTTCAGAAGGAAAAGTTGAATATATTAGGTTTTGAGAATATTCAGTTCACTAATATTTTATATTTTATTTCTTGATGACTAACTGTAGTTATTTTCATGTAAAATGTTAAACCTGATAAAAATAACACCTCAACTGGTTACACATTCCCAAGTAATAAATCATAAACAGCAATTTTTATATTCACTAATGAGCATCGTGTATGTTCCTGATTACATATTTGTTAAACTTAGGTGTCAGCTTTTCCATATGTCCCTTCTGGAGGTCTGTAGTACTTTGGGAAAGCCATCAGCTGTATCATGTTGAATGCATACTTTCTGCATTTGACATTCTTCAGTACATTCTCTATGCGGCATCCTTCTCTAGTGAAAGGGGGAAAAAGTACAACTTCATGAAACACAGAATAAATAAATAAGCTTTATTTGTTCATTGCAGAGTTTCAGCAACAGTTGAAGTAAAAATAACAAAGATTCAACTCTACATTTTTGTTTTCCACAAGTGATGATACATCTTACAAAATTAAATCTAAGGCCAGGCCCAGTACAGTTATTGCCCTCAGAAATAGGTGATAAGATTTTTTCCCCTAATATATTTGCCCTTGAGGTTTAAGGTTCCGTTAAAAATAAATAAATAATGATACATTTCATTTTAATTTCAGAAACATATTTGCCTTTTAAACCTTCTAATACTTTTTTTTTTTTTCAAATTGTTTACTGTATATGTGAGAGTACATGTTGCCATAAAAATGCGTATTCTAGGAATAAGGCATTTTATTAAGTCTGGCCCTATAGATTTCTGAAGGAAGTTTTTATCTCTGCTTCATTTCTCCTATGTTCAGCTTTGCAATGAAAAAAAGAGAGAATGGCTTTTCAAACAGCCCAATCCAACTCTCTGCTTTATAAAGGAATGATGTTTGTTCACATACAGTACAAAAGTCACAAGTGCCAAAGTGGTGCATCAAGACATAAACAGGACTTTGTTAAAAAGAATATAAAAGTGTCTTGAAAGCAAAAGCAACTAAAGCAACAATTACAAACAGGTTAATTTAATTACAAAACAGAACTTGCTCTATTCTGGTTGGTTACTTGACAGAAAAGGGTTAGTTGTAGCAAATAAATAACCATTTCTTGAACAAAAAATATCCCATCAGCTGATAATAACAATGAAAATAACACAATGAAATTAAGTCTTACAAACCACCACCCTGTAAAATTGGTCTGGGGGGTTAGTCTGTATTGTGCAAATCCATTTTTAATTTTTAATTTTGTCATACTAGGTTACTCTGGAAAGAGGGGTTCAAGCATTCAGGATTCCACATCTTCTTGTATACACAGTGACAGCATTGTAAGTGGGCTTTCTTTGAGCTAATTACAGTGGGAAAGCTTTACCATGGACAGAAAGAGCAAATCAATTTACTCAATGCATAGTATACTTCTCAGAGTTCAGAAAAAAATAACAAAAACAGTACATTTCAGACATTTGTATCTTAAAGATGTATCCTCGGGGTCTGAAACTGTAGAAATATTACAGCATAATTTCTTTTTCTAAAGTTAGCTTGTTGCTGTTTGTAGAAAAGAAAGGAACACAAGTGAAGTTTATTGATATTTGGCTAATAGCAAAGCAAGACTTAAAATAAGCCACACAACCAGCAAGTGTGAGCTGACAAGCAGCAAGGCGACAGGATAGAAGTGTCGAGAAGTTGGCTTGTTATCAGTTAGACAGCCTGTTTCGGGATCATCCGATTCATTCAGTGCTCCCTGGGTTTGTCTGCTGTTAAACAGGGGAAGTTAGGAACAAATAGAACAGCATTTAAACAGCAAAGAAAGCCAACATGTAGGCATTTTGACAACAAAGCAAAACTACATAGCCATTCTGATGAAATAGATTTATGCTAAGTACTTGCATATATTTAGGATGTTCTATAGCTGACAAGGGATGCACAATGACTAGGTGGGTAATATCTCTTTAAGCCTACTAAGTGCCCTAGGGTAGTATCCACGAGTTAACATTAAGTAACTTAGGAGATGAACGATCCTATCACTACAATGAACACACACACCAAACATAAATGAAATAAGGAAGTGAAAAAAAAAATAGCTAAGGAAGCAAAGAAAAGAAAGATCACAAATATGTCACAACGTGGCATTGACAAAATAATGTCTCCAGGGTTTTCACAGATTTTTCAGTCCTGCTTTACTAACTACTAAGAAATATATAGGCAGAAATAGGGAAGCCACATGCTCTTTTTGAAGGAGTTACAACTATTCTAAAATGGTTTTAAATGACAGTAAATTGACTTCAAAAATTCATCAGTGCTGGTGGGTCAGCTTTCAAGTCAAAGGCAGTTATTTTTATTTAAAGGCTCACACCTGTATTACCATAAGAAATTTACCTTGTATCTTGCTCAGTTGACTCAGCTAAGAACTAATCTGCTTGCAGCAAAGTCGTACCGAATCTCTTGTTGAGCAGTCACCTTCCTACCAGAGCAGAGCAGCAGGGGTACTTTCAAATCAGCACCAATCTTTCCTATTGTAGACTTGATAGCTTCTATACAAGTAGAATTATACATACTTCAACTGTACCTCTTCAGTCCCTCTGAACTAATCCTTATTTGCATATGCTTAGGATTCCTGTTCATGGACTTTAGGCACTAAGGAATTAGGAGAATTTAAATTTTTCTAGTTATTATGAATATTCTGTGATGAAAAGGTAACTCTTCTTTTTTTCCTTTGTGGATGTAAGAATATCCAAATACATCAGAGAGCAAGAATTCTCTTTCAGAAACACATGTCCCAGGTATGCTGTTTGTCAAGAAGAAGTACTGGCAGACCGTAAGGAGACGGTAGGCCAGTAGAATCGCACAGCCCCATATAAAATGAGCTCAGAACTTCCTTCCTTTTCTGCTCACATGCATTCATTTGTGATCAATTATGAGGACTCAGTTTATTTCTTTTCATTAATTTTCTGCTTTACCTTATATTTCTATGTACTTCTAAAAACATACTGCTTACTGTTTTTTCTTTTCCTTTCTTAATCTTAAGGCAATCCTACAAGTTGGCTTCTGACCCTTTTCCACTCTCCCTCCCACCTTTCCCACTCTTTGAGGTGAGCATGAGCTTACTCCCATTACGCATGTGATTGACAGCTATAGCTCAGCAGTCTCATCTATTCCTTCCTTGTCTGACATCCCCAGTGCTTTTGGACAGTTCTGGACGTCTTCCACGTCACAAACTTCACATGTGCATTTATGGCAGAGCAGATGCAGAGACTGAACTCTCCATCCAGGCAGCAACAAAGCTCAGCATTCAGCAAGTTTACACAGGCCACTGCATTAGCCACTGGTTAGGTACTTTATTCAGAAGAGCGTTAGTTTTGCATGCCAATAGTTTATTCTAAGCAGGGTGAGTTACATGCTTTCAGATGTTACATGTCTCTGGGGATGCAACCCTCCTACATCTGTAGCGTGCCCTGCTCTGTTTTGCTCCGTATCTCATTGACAGTATGACTGTCTTTCATCTGTTTCTACAACTCCCATTAGCATCACTACGATTTAGGCACTTATTATGATGGAAATAGAGATTAAAGCCATTTGTTCCTTTTTTTTTTTTTTTTTTTTTCAGTAGAAAAGCCTAGAGTACATTTAGATCTTTGATATGCTGAGAAGTATGATCAGTGTCTTTCAACATAGTAAGTTCTATCTTACCCCCAGGAAAACCAGTGTGAACAGGTAATGCACGGGGAGCTCTGTTCTACAAATCAGTCACATCATTCTATGCGTGATTCAGTAAGACATCCTGAAAATAGAGCAAGGGGATCCAACCCCATTACTAGCTACCCAAGAACAAGGCTGAGTGGAATATCTAAACACGCTTTTAATTTAAGAGGACTATTTCATCACAGACAGGTGCTTTGCTATGCACTGCAAATACTTTTCAAGGCACTTCAGTGACATCTTCTAACAAACCTTAAAGTGTTCTCCATAGTGACTGAAGTAGCTCAAGTTAAAAGTGCGGACCTACATACACTTGGCTGCCTGTAGTGTGACAACACTGCTTCTCCTGGCCCACCTAAATCTGGTGGAAGTTTTACTACACCAGAAAATACACATCCAGTTGGTGCCATGTCAGCTGGATTTATTCAACTTCTGACTGACACAGTACAATCAGAACAGAGTGGTATCCGACCCTATAATGGTGTGAAGGCATAGCCATAGCTTTTGATGTTCTCTCCGTCACAAACCACGTTCTAAGAGCTCTTGAGTCTCAGCAAAGGTGAAGGAAGAAAGCTTCCAAAATATTAAACAAGCTTGTATTGCACATAGACACCATTTTAAGAGGACTAGTAAAAACTTCTAAATTCATAACATCTGTGGTCATGAACACCTCTCTAACTTATAGTACTAATTTAATTCATTTACTTTCAAATTGTTTATCTGAGGCTTACAGCAAACTACAAATAACAAAATGACAGCCAAGGGTGCTGTAAGTTTAATGATGATATAACCATTTCAATCTGCCTTGTATCTCAGTTGGTGTTTTATCATCTTAAGCTCCTATTGAGATAATGTTGCATGCCTATCAAATGAGACAGAGCAAAACAGCAAGTATTTTCTGCTGTCTTTTAACTTGAATGACAAATTGTTTGAAACTCCAAGCAGTGGAGCAGAGAATGAAAATGCTGTGAGGAAAAAAAGAAGCCTCTGAAGAATCCTTATAGAGTCAAGCATAAGTACCAGGGCACACTCCAGCTTTTCATTATCACACTGCTTGGCCATCCCTGCACAGTGTTTTTGTAAGAGACACATTTTTATGCCTTGGGATACATGCTTCTCCTAGTAGAACTTTTCCAGCTCCAGCTACTAATGATACTGGTAACGCTAAATTGTCCTAAAGCAGTGCTTCAGGAAGAATAGTTAGGCAGCTTTCTATCAACACAAGGACCCCCACATGTGCTAGCAGTGACTTCAGTCTGAATTCATTGTCTTATATACCACAGATACTTTGGGGAATCTGCCTTTTCTGAAAATAGGCTCAAGCAAGCAGTTTCTGAGCCTTCTGGGTTTTTCTTGTCAAACTCCAGTGCTGACACAGAAAAATGCAAAAGCGAGATGCTTCTCTTTAATCCCTCCCAACAATGGCAGCAAAGACACTTCTTCAAACAGAAGTGATTGCAAATGGTTCTCAATCTTACACAATTTTGCTAACTTACCTCCTCTTTTTTATTTGACTATCACAATCCAGAACTTTTAAAGAAGCAGCTTCTCCAAAGAGTTGCAGCTCTCTCAAGGTTTTTAAATGGAACACTGTCTGCTTGCCTGTTTTTTTTTTTTTTTAAAATAAGATTGTTGGAGTGAAAGCTACTT